AAATGCAGATTACTGTTGCCTATGTTACTGACAACTCTGACAACTTTGCATTTTCGTTTTCATTCTTCTTCACACCTTTCACGCCCAAACACAAACCTCTTCCTGTGATCATGTTAACACTTTAGCTCATTTGTCACACAGTGGTACACAGATATCCGTTAATGTGATGTCATGTTAGATGTCTGCCTGGGTTGTGATGACTGCCGTAGATGATTCAGATCATTGCTCTTTTTGTTTATTTTATGTGTTTTTGTGTTTGTATGTGCTGTGCCCTTGCCTCTTGGACAGGAAATTAGCATGCTGGAGGCTAGTAGACAGCGGCGCTGACATGAGGGAAGTAGGCTGGGAAATAAGGGTGTTCATTAACTCAGGTAGTTTCATCCTAAACCAGGACTTTTCCACAGCTTCTTTGTGCACCACAAACAGTGCTGTCTCTATGTGTCTCATGTTATGGGGCCTCTTTTATTCCCAATATAAACAGATAAGAGAGTTAATATGTTTGATATGCACCTATAGGTGATAAGGCAGCTGTTTCTTCCTATGCCAAAATTTTAATTTTTCTAAAATAACTGTATTATGATAACAAATCAAAATGAAAATTCTAGATGCCGTTCCTGAATGAAGTGTTCACAGTCATGTTTTTTTCATTCATCCAGGGAAGGGAATCTGTTTTGGTTCATATCACTTAATAGAATTTAACTTGTAAGGTGACATTTATGTCGGTACAACTGTTATTGGGGGCACCCCGTAGCTCACCTAGTTGAGCAGGCGACCCATAAACAGGGGCTATAGTTCCCCAACACAGCAATCATGGGTTCGACTCTCGCCCACGACCCTTTGCTGCATGTCTCTCCCCATTCTTCTCCCCCCTTTCCTGTCTGTCTCTACTGCTCTAAAAAAAAACAAAAAAACCCCAAAAATATATTTTAAAAATACAAAACTTATTTACAGAAGCGCTGAACTGCCACTCCTCAAAATAAAGCCAAAGCAGATCAGTATCTCATTGTAACGTAACATAAAGTTTCTTGTTACGTTAAAACCTTATCAAGTTATAATGAGATAAAAATGGATCACATGATAACAAGATAAATAAGTATCTCGTTATAACATGAAACGTATCTCATTATAACGTGATAAACTAGTATGTTGTTCAAACGTGATAATATCTCGCTATAATGTGAAAAATACTGATCCGTCTCTTCTTTTTGAGGAGAGGCAGTTTAGCGCTTCCATAGTTATTGGATCTTACTCTGATAGACAAACTCGTCAATGTATTGCAACACTATTTAGTCAGTACACACTTATGATTATGGATCATTCCATCTCAAATCATCAGAACCTTCTGCTTGACCATGTCTGATTTGCTTGGAATGTTTTTGTCCTAAACCATGGATATTTAAAATGGTATCTGTGACATTTTAGCTTAACATATGAAATACTTTCCATGATATCAGTTGATTTGAGATGAAATGACCCTCTTGACTCTTGAAAATCAAACAGTTTCTTTTCATTAAGAAACTGATATAAAGATTTCAAAACAACTGATAAATATCAGTAGAGTTAAGAGAGACTCCACA